AGAAATTAGAGATTCCCCTCCAAGGCAACACTCCCCGACCCCAATGCCTGCTGTTGGGCCACCTGAGGGACCAGACTCTCCTCCTAGGGGTAGGAGCCATTCGTCGGAGTGCCATGCAGATGACTGGGCTATGCACAGCTATGGTGGCTATCCTGCCTGGAGTGGACTCCATCCATATGCCTTTTTTCCTCCGGACCGTCGCTTGCTGTTGTTTCCGAGAGAGGCACCGTCCACTTCTGGCCATACGGAACGCAGATCTCCACCATCTCCTGAAAGCTCTTCGTCCAGTGAGCATTACTTCTACCATCAAGACTCAGACGAGTCGGAAGTAGACTCCACATCTCCGGACGTGGCTATTACTTCCCAAGACCTGGGATCCCCGGATGAGCCCCGTGTTTCTTTCTTGGAGCTGGTTTCTCGTCTAGTCCGGTCGCTGGAGATAGAGGCCTACCACCACCCCGGGCCCAGCACAGACCGGTTTTACGACATCATCTGAGGGGAGCAGTCTGCCACCGTTTTCTTACCGTTGATTACCACACTTCGCCAGGCAATGGTTCAGCCCAGGGACCAACCAGCTCAGCCGCAGGCGACATCTCACCATTACGAATCTATGTACCGGGTCCGAGAGGACGACATCCCGTTCCTGCTGCGCCACCTGAAGCCTAATTCGGTGGTGGTCATGTCATCCCAGGGCAGGGAGGCTCAGGGACATACAACACCCCGAGATAACGGAGGAAGGTCGACATGATCGCGCGTCAGGACTACACGGCTGCAGGACTCGGTTTGCATATTTCAAATTATGAGGCTACACTGGCATGTTACCAGTACTTCATTATGCAGAAGCTGGAAAACGTCATCTCCTCCCTCCTGGGGGACCAGCAGGCAGACCTAGCCAAGGTCTTCTTAAATGAAGCGCAGGTGGCCATTCAACAGTTGTCTACCGCAAGACATCACGTAGACACTGATTCTCGGGCCATGGTCAACGCTGTCTCTCTCCGACGACACGTGTGGTTCAGGAACTGCAATTTCCCTGAGGAGATGAAGAGGAGGATAGAGGAAATGCCATTCGATGGCTCTGGCCTCTTCCATGCGAAGACCGATCGGAAACTCAAAGCCATCCACAAGTCCCGTATGACGGCGCATCGAATGGAACTCCCACAAGCGAAACGTAAGTGGCCATGGTCCAGCCCCTACGAGCACCAGCAATATCAGCCTCGCCAGCAGTTTCACCAGCACCAGCAATGTACAAGGCAACAGCCTCAACAGCGCTCCTCCCAGGACTATAGGCGTTTCGACACCGAGAAACGTCCCCGTTGATGGTCCCGGCGAACCAATTCACCTCTCCACCTCCCACCTTCCCCTCTCCCCTTTGGGAGTTGGCTCCAAAGCCGACTTCCCATTTGGGAGGCCATTACATCTGATAGGTGGGTGCTGTCAATCATTCAGCTCGGATATAGAATAGAATTCGACATCATTCCACCGTCGAGCCCTATCCGATTTACACCGCCATTTTTGGTTCTGTGCGATGAAGTCCTTCACCTTCTTCATAAGGGAGCGATTCGACAACTCTCTTGCACTGATGGGCTACACGGATTCTATTCTAGATATTTTACAGTTCCCAAACGGGACAGTGGTCTTCGACCTATCCTGGATCTAAGAGAAGTCAATAGATATATCAAACCAAGGAAATTCCGGATGACCACTTTACAGAATATTCTTCTGTTGCTAAGGGAAGGGGATTGGTTCACCTCATTGGACTTGAAGGATGCGTATTTTCATATTTCTATCCATCCTTCCCATAGACACTTCCTACGTTTTACTGTCGGATCCGATATTTTCAAATTCAATGTTCTACCATTCGGACTGGCTATGGCACCGAGAGTCTTTACAAAGTGCATGGCCCAGTTTGTGCCCACCTATGGCTCTGGGGTATACAGGTCTACCCCTATTTAGATGATTGGCTAATTGTGTCACGGACTAAAGACAACCTTTTAGCGGCTGTCCGCCTGACTTATGCTTTACTTGATGACCTCGGACTCTGTATTAACCTTAAGAAATTGTCATTTATTCCCGCACAGGTCATCGATTTCATCAGAGCACGTATCGACTCCACCCTGCAAGAAGCGTTCCTTCTTCCGCCCCGCAGGGCCACCCTGTGTACACACATCCATCAGATTCAACGACAAAGGACAGTTCAAGCCATCACTATACAAAGATTGTTGGGACACATGGCAGTCTCAGTAGCCATTGTGCCGCACACAAGGCTCAGACTCCTCCCGCTCCAATTATTTTTCAACTCATTCCATCCGCAGCGGGATTTACAAACCAAGCTTCTGCAGATTCCATCTTCGATCCTTCACACCCTGACGTGGTGGACTATTTCACACAACCTATCTGTAGGCGTTCCGTTCCACCCACCCCAACCGACAGTGACAGTGTACACCGATGCGTCTCTCATCGGATGGGGTGCGACATGTTCGGGTCCAAGGGGCATGGACCTGACGGGAAGCAGCGATGCATATCAACTTCCTCGAGCTTCTAGCAATTTTCAACACTCTCAAATCTTTCGAAACCGTCTTACACCGCCAAGTTGTACAGATTACGTCAGACAGCATAGCTGCTGTTTTCTATGTCAACAAACAGGGTGGGACAAAGTCACCTCTCCTGGCCTGTTTGTCAATGCAAATCTGGGACTAGTGCATTCCTTGGGACATCACAATGCTGGCGGTTCATCTTGCGGGAACCGACAACGTAGAAGCTGATGCACTGAGCCGACAAATGTCAACTACCCACAAATGGGAGTTGGATCGAGTGGTTTGCAATCAGCTGTTCCAGTTATGGGGACAACCGGATATAGACTTGTTCGTGACCCGGTCGAACAGGGTGTGCAAACTGTTCTGCTCCAGAGTGGGTCTGGGACTGGACTCGAGGGGAGATGCCTTAATGATCGACTGGAACAACCTGTTCTACGCGTTCCCGCCAATCCCGCTCCTCATGAAGGTAGTGTCGAAGATCGTGCATGACAACGCCTCAGGAATTCTGATAACCCCATGGTGGCCAAGGCAACCCTGGTTCACCACTCTCCTCACTCAGTCCAGAGGAGTTTTTTGATGACTTCCGCTTGTTCCTCATCTGTTAACACAACACAACGGGACAGTACGACACCCGGATTTACTCTTGCTGAAACTAACAGCGTGGTGCTTCCGATAGATCTGAATTTTCCGTTGGCTCCGTTGCCATCCCGATCGACAGAACTTTCACTTCAACGTCATACACAACCAACTCCTCCCTCGGAATTGTCAAGGTCCGTTTTGGGACCGACAGTGTTATCCTCGGATATCCAGGCAATTCTCGAATCTGCACTACGACCTTCCACATGCAAGTCGTATTCAGCAAAGTGAAGAAGATTCTCCTCCTTTGCCAATGCCCATTCTTTCTCTCCAGAGTCGGCTTCGATCGAGAATATTTTGCAATTACTATTTGACCCTCATTGCTTGGGACTCAAGCCTTCATCTATAAAGATCTATACGGCTGCTATCTCGTATTTTCGTGGCAGCATCCAGGGGTCATCTGTTTTTTCTCAACCCCTGATTCGCCATTTCCTTAAAGGGCTACAAAATTTGCACCCGTCAGTTTGACCTGTTATGCTGACGTGGAGTCTTTCTGTTGTACTTCAGGCCCTTACAAAACCTCCATTTGAACCTTTAGCAAGGTGGATTTACGCCTAGTTTCATGGAAAACTGCCTTCCTTGTTGCAGTTACTTCAGCCAGAAGAGCCACTGAACTGTGTGCTCTACGCATAGACCCACCGTTCTTGAACTTTCACAAGGAAAAAGTCGTTCTTCGAATGGACTCCAAGTTTCTTCCCAAGGTGGCTACACTGTTTCATTTGAACCAAGACATCGTCCTCCCTGCGTTTTTTCCATCTCCGTCGACTCTGATTGAGCGCTCTCTCCATACGCTGGATGTTAGGCGCTGTCTAGACTTTTACAGGTCTCACACAGAAGCGTTCAGGAATTCCAGTAGACTTTTTGTCAAGTATGCCGATCATGACAAGGGCTCTCCAGTCTCATCTCAGCGACTGTCCAAATGGATTGTGCAAACCATAGTCCTAGCATATCAATTGACCAAGCTTGACTTACCTTCACTTCCGAGGGGGCATTCTATGCGAGCAGTAGCGACTTCGTTGGCCTTTGCAGCAGGGGTTCCAATTCAGGATATTTGCAAGGCTGCAACTTGGGCTGCTCCATGTACTTTCGCCAAGCATTATCGGCTTGATGTACGCGCCAGAGGGGATTGTTCTTTTGGTAGAGCCGTGCTCTCTGCCATTCTTCACTGACGACACCTTCCCTCCTCCGAGTCTAGTAAGCTTGCTAATCACCCATATGTGTGATGCACAGAGGCCACGACGAAGAAGAGCAGGTTGCTTACCTGTTACTGATGTTCTTCGAGTGGCCATCTGTGCATTCACACCACCCACCCGCCAGCCCCGCATGGTGTCGGTGAGTGGACTGTTTTTTTCTTACTGCGGTTCTGTGTTACTCCTACGGTACCGACTTTTTCTTGCTGCGATGCTGATTTTCGAACGTTAGGGGGTGAACGTCGGTCTTCGAGACTGAGTAAAATGGCGGATGCTCTGCTCTATTTATCCTGCAAGGGGGAGAGGAGCGGACTGTTTTCCCACCAAAAACTGTTAGCTTTCTAATCTTCCGGCCTAGGCACTGCGCAGGCGCAGCACCCATATGTGTGAATGCACAGATGGCCACTCGAAGAACACCAGTTACAGGTAAGCAACCTGCTCTTCTAGTAATTTGATGTATTATTGTATCAGTAGTTTATTTTTTATTGTGAGCAGGTCAGAGCAAAGATATTAGGTATGAGAAGTAGTGTAAAAGTCTTCTAAATTAAAGACATAAATATGCTGGATTTACTTTTAAGTGTAGTTGCAGATACAGAAGTTCATTGCACTAAGCTTTTATCTTAACTTGGCTTCTTTTCAGGTGGTTTTGGAATGCACATTAAAGAAGGACATTATTTACAATAAGGTTACGCCAACTTTTCACCACTGGAAGATTGATGACAAAAAATTCGGCCTCACATTTCAGAGTCCTGCTGATGCAAGAGCATTTGACAGAGGCATTCGGAGAGCAGTTGAAGATATTTCTCAAGGTAGGAATCTGTTAGTCAATCTTCTTTATTTTTTAAAGGTAATATTATCCACACTTAAGTAAAATTAATATGAACATGCAGATAGCATTTTTGAGAATTTATTCACTCATTTCCTGTTCTGCTTATCTGGCTTTCTCTTGCTACCACCACTGCCACCATAGTCATTGGAAAAAATAGAAAACAGAAGAACAGTTCCTATGCATGTCTGTTTTATCTTACTCTGAAATCTAAAAGGTAAGTGCCTCTTTAAGCCATGAAGGAGAGAGAGAGCAACCTGCCTCTGCCTTAATTTCACAAGAAGTCCTGGCAACAGTTAAAATGGGAATAGGAAACAATTTGCATCAGCACCATGGTACTTCATACTCACCCAGGGAAATGGTCAGTGGCATGATTGTGTTAATAGATGTAAAGGCAGATAAAAGGCCACCAAATAGAATTCAGATCCCATCAATGGAAGGACTTCATGCCCTTTCTGAAAGCAAGCACTTATCTCTCTTTCTGGGCTTCTCTTGTATATGTTCAAATAAACTCCCTTGGCAATACCTCAAATTCCATCAATGCTTTGTTGTGGAGTGTAAGACTGAATGGCTTTCAGGACATTATTTACCTGGGAAGATAGTTACTTCCTAAAGGGTGAATGAAGTGATGTCTTTGCTTTTGCAAGCTTGTTCAGCATTAGGTGCGCATGTGTGTATACACCTGCATACGTGCACTTGGTTTACTAGTTTGTAGTGTAATAACGCTTTTGAACAATGAAATAGCAAAATGAAATTTGGTACACATATTCAGGGAACTCCACACCTGTTCTCATGGTTGGGCCATAAAAGACAGTACTGGAATGTGCTATCTCCCTTGAACACTGAGATGATAGAATAGAATTTTCTATGGGTATATAAAATAAAAAATTTTGTTTGAACTTCAGACATCTGTGGGGAAGGGAACATAGTTCAAGTGATATAATATTTGCTTTGCATGCAGAAGATGCTATGTTCAGTACGTGCATCTCCAGTTAATAAACATAAGGGAGTAGGTGATGTGAAGCACCACTGTTTGAGACCCATGAGAGCCATTGCCATTGAGGAGAGAGATCTCAGGATGGATACATAAATTGGCTTTTCTGGATAAGTTTCCTGTGTTCCCCATTTATTTATTTTCCGTAAAAGTGGCCCATGTACGCATGAGGAGGGGTAAAAATGAAAAACAGTTATGCACTGTTTGTAGTTGTAATTACTGATGAGTCACATATGACAAATAGTGGACCTTGTGAAAATCAAGTTGACATAGTTATCAAGACTCCTAATGCATGACTTTAGCCAGACATAAATGGAAGTAACTTGATAGTTCACGTTCGTCTCATTCTTCCACAGGTTGTCCAACTTCACATGATGAAATCGAAGTGCCTGCTGATGGCTTTCCAGTAAGTGCTTTAGATATCCATTATGCTAATTACATTGGAGGAAATGATAGGAATTCTTAATGCAGGAGGAAGGTCTTACTTCCATTCATTAAAACCTTTTGAGCTTTTAATCTGTAAGAAGTGAATGTGTGGATAGCCTTACCTTGAAGTTGGTGCTGGATGGCTTCTTTTGGTGGCTGTATTTAATTCTCAGGACTGTATACTATTGCCTGTTTTGTGGAACATTTCTAGCTTTCTCTGAGCTGTGTCAGTGAATTTGTTAGTGAATTTCCCTGGAGCAGAGTGGTGCTAAGGAACTTGTAGCTTCACTGGGGCAGCATGCTGCTCAGGAGCTTGAAGCTTAATTTGAACTATGACTGGGCCCTGGAAGGAAAAACTTCATTGTGCAGATGGTGTAGAAACCTGTAGTAGTAATACACAGGCCTTGACAGGGTTTAAACATCGAATCTGCTTTCAGTATGGGAATTCAGCCCCTGAGCATGTGAATGACAGCAAGCATATTAGCACTAGTAAATATGTGCTTGATACCCTGCATTTGGCACAGATTTCATTGTACCAGGAATACATAAGAGCCATGAAAGTTTATATGGACTCTAAACAGTCCATAGTTAAGTTTAGAAGTATAATACTGAGCAATTGTATCATTCAGTGACTGCTAGGCTATCTTATTTTATACTGTATGTGAGGAAGTGAATGTTTCGCACCATCCTGCACAGGGAGAAACTGCCTACATATACAAAAGTATTCTGTCATCTTGGCCATCTCCCTGGCATACTGCCTTTGTATATTCAGGGTGACTTTTTATACCAACTATTCAAATATGCATCCCACTCACTCTGCCCTACATGCTGAAATGGAACTGCCATTACTCAAGTTACAGGAAGGGCTTCTTACTTCTGTCTTAGCAATGTTATCTATGTTTGTTACTTATTTTAAGATTGCGAAGATAGCAATTTGACTATAATTTGGGATGTCAGGTGCTGAACCATGTTGACTTCATTTAGGGGAACTGCTTTTCTCATAATTCTCACTAACTAGACAGTCATCTGAGTGGGAAGGGGTAAATTGGTATCCCACAACAGCAGAGGGTCAGACCTGATGGCCTTCCTGATCCCTTCCAGCTCTACTATTCCATGATTCTGTGATCATTAGAGCACAGTTTACAACCCAGCAAAAGTTCTTCCACTTAAATGCTGTGACATTTCTGCTCCTTTTATCTGAGCTTGAAGTGACTGATGTGATTTTGCAACAACTCTCAAACAAGTGACATTCTTGCTCAGATAATACTGATGAGCCAAAATATTTACGTATTTTTCTTTTAATGCATGTCTTAAACTGTTTCCGAGCATAGAGCAAGGGCTTTAGAGCCCTTTTTACAGGTGCCTCTGAAGTGCCCAATTTTTTACTTTGGGAAACAAAATTGTGGGAAAATAGGGCAACCTGCAGGCCCTCAGAGGCCACCTATGTGGTCTGCGGTGGGTGCCAATGCTGCCACCTCTCTGTGAATTTGCCTCACATGCCATTCCCACTGGAGCTGGTGGCACATGGGGATAACTCTTTCCGCTGCCTTCTGTTCCAGTGTTATCCGGCTCCTGATATGGGAAGAGAACGTGCTCTGTCAAATTCATACATTTTCTTTCCTGGAACTATCAGGCTACTGACAGCCCACCAGTTACCTGATTGGCTGGCTGCCAGGAGCCTGATGCTGGGAAAGAAGGGCCATGAAGATTGTCCTTGTGTCCCTCTTTCCCAGCACAATCAGACCGTAGGAACCCAATCCTAGTGGCAAACAATCATGCGAAGAGATCCATCCCTCTGCACCTTTTCTACTAGCATAGTCATTGGGTGATGGGCCAAGTAAAAGCTGCTCTCTTCTGCTATAAATCAGTATGCTGGGAGGGTGGGCAGTCATTGTATAGATGTAGATATCCTCAATTTCTGGCTAGCCAAGCAACTCTGCATGCCATCCACAGAGCTGAAAGTTTGTTTGTCCCTGGACTTCATCTGATCCGGAGGAATCTATACATGCTCTTACCAGGATTTCTGGTAAGCAAGATTTCTTCGTCGTGGCCTCTGTGCATCACACATATGGGTGCTGCGCCTGCGCAGTGCCTAGGCCAGAAAGATTGAAAGCTAACGGTTTCGGTGGGAAAAACTCCGCTCCCCCTCCCCTCAGTAGTATATATAGAGCGGAGTGTCTGCCATTTTCTCCAGTCTTTTGCGACCGCCATTTGCTGTGCCTCGTACCTGTTCGTCTCTCGCTTGACTCAGTATTGTTCATTACTTACCATTTATCTTCTTACTCTTATTCCAAGTTATTATTCCCTCATTCCAGTTTATATCTTCTTTTTCTCTTTACTTGTTCCTATAAAAAACCCCCGAAAAATATATTACTTTTCTCTCTTTCTATATTCTATTTCTTCTTTTTCTGTGATGGTGCAGCGAGCGGCCTTCCACAAATGTGTGGAATGTGGGTCCAAAATGTCTCCGGCGGACCCACATGACTTGTGCCTCCTCTGCCTCAGCGAGGGGCACAGGACTGATAAATGCCATCATTGCCTTGCTTTCACTAAGCAAGCGTGAAAGAATAGGGAGAACCGGCTGCGCAAACTCCTCTGGGATCAAGCGCTGATGCAATCCGATCAGCCTGCAGGAAAACCTGGGTCAGTGCATGCTCCATCTGCTAAGCGCAAGGCCTCAGCCTTGTCTGAGCCGGTTCAACGTCCAGCCTCTGCCATGGGCATGTCTGGGCAATGCCTTTTGCCCACGCCGCCTATGCTGCCGCAACCATCCAGTGGTGGAACTTCCCCCCCAGGGACTCAGTTACCTCTTCCCCCCCTCATAAACAATGGGAAAAGAGGAAGCACAGGGGACTGGATCAATCTTCGGCTCACAAAAAGGCGAAGAAAGATAAGGTGGCAAAACCGCCTCATAAGAAGAGGCATCGGGATTCAGGTATGACAGCCCCATCGATCCCGACGGCAGCTTCGGTACCAACGCCATTGGTACCGATGCTTCAGGCGGCGATGCAGATTACTCCTCCGGGGTCACCGATACAATTTGCTCCTCAACAGGGCATGCCTATTCCACTGCCCGAAGAGCAGCATCGTGAGTTGATGTCCGATGGGGAGATTCAGGATTCTCCTCCGAGGGCCTGGTCCCCAACTCCTATGCCTACGGTGAGAGCTAGAGACCAATCTCCATCACCACCACCTCGGACCCGGATGGACGAGAGGCAGGAAGAAGGATGGTTCTGACCCTATTATGACTAACCGAGGGGCTGGGAGGACTACCATTCTTTTGGATTTCGTCCTCACCCATGGAATTGTTCTTCACCCTCTGTTCATGAGGATCTGCCGTCTACTTCCCGGCATGTAGAACCTGATCGTCCCACTTCTCCAGGGACCTCCTCATCGGAACCATACCATCCCGGACCCGACTCAGACTCGGATGCCGACTCTACCTCCCTGGACAGCATGATAACATCTCAAGGCCCGTCATCGCCTGAAGAATCCCACATTTCATTCAGGGAGCTTATGTCTAGACTTGTTCGGTCGCTTGAGATCGAGGCGCAACATCAGCCAGATCTGAGCACCGACAAGTTCTACAATATTGTTCGGGGAGAACAATCACCAGCAATCGTCTTGCCGCTTATTACAACTCTGCGACAGGCGATGACGCAACCCTGGGACTTGCCTTCTCAAACTCAACCTACGGTGAGAAGATACGAGTCCATGTATCGGGTCCGAGAGAGCGACATCCCCTTTCTGCTTCACCACCCTAAGCCAAACTCTGTGGTGGTCGAATCATCTCAGGGCAGGGAAGCTAGAGGCCATACCACCCCCAGAGATAAGGAGGGGCACAAGATTGATACCCTGGCACGCAGGGTCTATGCGGCTGCAGGACTCGGGCTTTGGATGTCCACCTATGAAGCCACCCTCACTAGGTATCAATTCTTTATTATGCAGAGGCTGAATAATATTGTCGCTCCCCTGCCTGAGCAACAAAGGGACCTTGCCAGAACCTTCATTAAAGAGGGGATGCAAGTCGCCATTCAACAATTATCCACTGCACGCCACCATGTAGATACAGACTTGAGAGCGCTTGTGGGGGCGGTCTCACTGAGAAGGCATGCCTGGTCGTGAAATTGCAACTTCCCTGATGAAATGAAGCAGCGAATAGAGGAAATGCCTTTTGACGGCTCCGGGCTTTTTCACTCCCGCACCGATCACAAGTTAAAGTCAACACAAAATCCACCGCCCTGGCCCACCTGTCCATGGACATTTGGGAGTGGTGTATCCCGAGAGGCATAACCCTTTTGGCGGTCCATCTGTCCGGGACCGGCAACGAAGAGGCAGACTCCTTGAGCAGACACGTCAATCACCCACGAATGGGAACTAAACCACCAAGTTTGCACCCAATTGTTCCAACTGTGGGGACATTCAGACATAGATCTCTTTGCCACCAACAGAAACAAGGTGTGCAAAAGGTTCTGCTCCAGGGCGGGAATAGGACCGGGATCGATGGGAGATACCCTTATGATTACATGGACAAATCTCAGGTTCTATGCATTCCCACCTATTCCTCTGCTGACCAAAGTCGTCTCGAAGATCGTGCACGACGATGCCACAGGGATACTCATAGCACCTTGGTGGCCTCGCCAGGCGTGGTTCTCCACTCTCCTTCAGATCTCAAAGGGCAATTTCCTTCGCCTTCCGCTCACACAAGATTTGCTAACCCAACAAAACGGGGCCATCCATCACCCGGACCGTTGTCATTGAACCTCACTGTGTGGAGGATACATTGACTCAAGGGACTGTTTTGGAACAGGGATCTAATAGATCACTAGGTACCTCAACTCATGATCGGTCGGACCCTCTCACTGATTCGGTACCAATGGGAATATTGTTGGGACCGAGTTCTTTGGATCCGGAGGTTGTACGGATTCTCAAGTCTGCACTAAGACTATCCACCCGAAAATCCTACATGGCGAAGTGGCG